TCTCTTCACCAGGCTAAACATCCCTAGGTCCTTCAAACATCATTCTGGTTACCTTCCTCTCTGCTCCTCCATGCTCACACTAGAGCTTCATAGGATCATTCTATCTCAGATTTGGAAGAAATGTCAAAACTCAATGATCTTCCTCAAAGCCACCCAATAAATTACCATGACAACCTAACTTTCATTCCTTTTCAGTTTCTCTTTAAATTTTGTTTTCTGCTATGAACTAAATGGGCAGCTAGATGGCATAGTAAATAGAATGCTGGGCTTGGAGTCAGGAAGACTCATCTTTCTGAATTTGAATCCGGCCTCAGACACTTATTAGCTATGTGACCATGGGCAAGTCGCTTAACCTTGTTTGCTTCAGTTTCCTCATCTGTAAAATGAGCTGGGGAAGGAAATGGGAAACCACTCCAATATCTTTACCAAGAAAACCCCAATGGGGTCATGAAAAGGTGGGCACAACTGAAATGACTAAATCATGATGAACTTACTTAACATCAACAAACACAAACATTCCAGTGTACATAATGAGAAAGAGACTGAACTTCTGTTATATGTAGTTTTTTAAAGTGTGTATTATATTTAAAATGATAGCAAAAAAAATACCCCAAAACAAAACAAAACACCTTCCCTGCTTGTGTTTGACCCCTTCTGAACTTCCTTCTGCTATCATCTGTGTATTTTTAAAATGTTTCATTGATGTTCTTTTCTTCTTTTTTGGCATCACCTACTGGGATCTAAGGAAGGAATTTCAAAGTTCAGTCCCAAATGCTGGTTGTCTGCCAGTTGTTCAGTAAACTGGGACTGGCACAGTGCCTATTCTATACAAAGGCCTAGAATCCCATTTCAGCTTGGTGTTGCTGTTCAGTCATTCAGTTGTGTTTGATTCTACATAACCCCATAGACTTTGTCCATGGTTTTCTTGGCATTTCAGATCATTACTACCTTCTAATTCCCTTTCTTTCCCAGGAGAAGCTATCTCTTTTAACCAATAAATTTAGTTGAGTAAAACAAATCTACACATTAGCTATATCTGCAAATGTATGTTTCTCTAGTCCATTACTTTTCTGCCAAGAGGTGGTTAGCATGCTTAATTATTAGTCATCCGAAGTCATGGTTGATCACTTCTTTGATCAGATTTTCCAAAATCTTCCAAAGCTGTTCTCCTTTACAGTATCTCAGTCATCATGTAAATTACTGTCCTGGTTACTTCACTTCTGCTCACTTCACTCTGCACCAATTTATATAAGTATTTCCAAGTTTCTCTAATGCTGATGCTGCTTTATAATGCAACATATTATATTGCATTGCATCATATTATATAACATAATATATCCATTATATCTATATACCACAATTTGTTCAGCCATCCCCCTCTTGCTGAACACCCAATTCGTTTCTTCAGTACAAAAAGTGCTCTTATAAATATTTTTGTACATATGGGTCCCTTTCCCCTCTGTCCTTGACCTCATTGGGGGTATATTCTTAGTAGTGGCATCATGGGGTCAAAGAGTATGCACAGTTTAGTGACCTTGTGGGGATAGTTCCAAGTTGCTTTCCACATTGGTTGAACTACTTCACAGCTTTGTCAAGTGTGTATGAGTGTGCCTGCCATCCCATAGTCTCTTGAAAAATTACTTTTTCCCTCTTTTATCATCTTAGTCAATCTGATAGATGTGGGGTGGCATCTTGGAGTTGTTTTAATTTGCATTTCTCAAATTATTAATGATTTGGAGTACTTTTTACATGGTGGCTGAGAGCTTGTGTCTGTTCTTTTGAAAACTGACTTTATATTCTTTGATATACTATCCCCTGGTAAAAGCAGAAAGTAGAGATGATTAGTGGCTAATTCCTAATTATTATTTCTTATCAGGGTCATTAGTCTAATTCTCTCTTTTGTTTTGTCTAGGTTGATGTAGCTTTTGGTGTCATATAATTAATCTATCTTGAGATTCAATATCTCTGTTGCTAATAGGTTCTCTCATTGCATTAAAACTCCACAGATCCACAGACAGAAGAAAGCATTTATTAAACAGGAAATAGTTCATGGGCTTCAATGCCATTTAAAAAACTCATTATCTATTAAACACAATATTACATTTATTTTAATAAGCATTAGTACAGTAGTGCACAAAGATATGGAAACAATACCAGTGAGGTACAGGTCCATCAATATATAAAATGCATTTTACATTGGGTATGTGACGTTTTAACATAAAACATAAGACCAATGAAAATACAAGGAATTTATTATCAACTGTCTGATCTCACGTTTTACCTTAATCTTTATATGTTTTGTGACAAAAAATAGGAATAGCTATATTTTTAGTGACTTTAATCAGTTGCAAAGGTAGAGTGGGAAAATGACTAGGTTAGGATTCAGGAGACACATAGCTTCATCTCTGCTGTCAATCAGCTATCTGATGTTGGCCAAATCACTTTTGTTCTCATCCTCTGTTTCCTTATCTGTAGGTGGGCTTATGTCAGACTAAGACGATCCCAGAGGCTCTTTCCGATTCACTCTTATGTTCTAAGGCTCCTCTCTAACTCTAATATTCTGTATCACAGAATTCTGTGAGTCTACATCTCAAGGTCTCTTCTAGCTCTGACATTCTAGGAATCTGAATAGAGAGGAGATTTAGATAGCTAGATTATATTGTGTTTTGAATCCTTGGGAGTTGAAAATGGGTAGAATAATGTCTAGGTATCCATAGATGAGTATGAGTTGTTTTTTTTTTTTTGTCTCTGTATCCTCAGAACCAGAAGAGTGAATTCCCTGTGAACCCAAGTAGTAACTAAAATCAGGGTAGGCAGCCTGGAGTAGTGGACAGAGGCAGCCTTGTAGTTAGGAAGGCCAAGGCTCAAGTCCTGCTTCTGATCTACACTGGTTGTGTGACCATCAGTAAGTCATTTAGCCTTTCTATTCACCTGACAACTTTCCAATATTGGAAGGTATATATGAGTTGCTGATCTTTTCTGTTTTTTTAGTTTTTTTTTTTTTTGAGGCAATTGGGATTAAGTGACTTGCCTTACCCAGGGTCACACAGCTAGTAAATGTCTGAGGCTGGATTTGAACTCAGGTCCTCCTGACTCCATTGTTGGTGCTGTATTCACTGCACTACCTAGTTGCCCCCGAGGTACTGATCTCTTTTGGTGGAAGGAATTTCCTTTATCTGTAGTTGCCAACACATACAAAATCACAGGTCTAAACCAAAACATGTGCTGTTTCTAAATACAGTTTGACATGTATATATACTTATGTATGTATGTATATACATACACACACACATATGGATGTATGCAACCGTACTTGTATATATTTACATGAATATCTCTATATCGTTATATATATCTATATGGATGTATAGACAGTCCTATTCATTAGTAGCAGAGTCAAATTCACTTCCTAAATCTGTGCCCTGAGTATATCCCTTTGATTTAATCTCCTATCCTATGATTTATTCTTTTAAGCACATTTTTTGGGGGCAGGTTAGTTGCTGACATAGATGTTACATGTTCCCAATGACTGGAACTCTTTCTCTCCTCATCTCTGCCTCCTGGCTTCCCTGGCTTCCTTCAAGTCTCAGATAAAGTCTCACCTACAAGAAGCCAGTGTCACTCCTCCTTAATCTTAATGCCTTCTCTCTGAGATTATCTCCAGTTTCCTCTGTATATATCTTTTTTTCACGGTGTTATTTTCACGTTGACTCACCCAGTAAACTGTGAACACCTGGAGAACAGACTATTTTTGCCTTTCTTTTTATTTCTAGCACTTAGCACAGTGCTTGGCACATAGTAGATAAATGTTTGCTTATTTGAATAGAAAAGAAATCAACTTCTGGTCACCTGTAAAATGTCTTCCATGCCACACTAAAACAATAGAGCACTTACCATTATGTGTATGTACAACACAGACACATTTATGCACTGACAAATGGATCTTGAATAGTTATATGAAATGGCTCTTAAATACCTGAGGTAAGCTAGATGCCAAATTCCATCTTTCTATGAAAGACAGAAGGGGAAGGCTGACAAATAACTTAAACTTATAACTGGACAAAAATAAATTAATTGTAGGGGTTTTCCAGAATCTCATTTCCTGATGTATGGTAGGAAAGTCCTATTATTGTAAACATCCATGTCCAGACAAGATTTCTTTTCTTAGCCTGATCCATTCAGTGAAACCTGACGTAGAAGAGCAAATGTATACAAGGGCTCCTGCTTTGTAGTCCTCTTTTGTGATTTCCCCGTAAGATTTTGTGAAGATTTTCCCTTTTTAAGGAAATCTCTTTAAGCAACCTTCCATATCACTTCAATCAAGAGAGAGCAAGAAACACTGTAAGAGAATCAGGGGCTCACAGGATTTAGGGTTGGAAGAAACCATTGAAGTCACTTAGTGCAGAAATTCTTAACCTTATTTTGTGGTGAAGAGTATGGACTTCTCAGAATTATGTTTTTAAATAATTGAAAGAAATGCTAAATTTCAGTTAGAGGCATTGTTGTTCCCATCTAACTTCATGTATCCCTTGAAATCTTGGGTCTGTGGGTCCAAATGAAGAACCCCTGATCTAATCTATCTGCATTATTTTATGAAGGCAGGTCAACAGAGGGGATAATGTGTATAATGCAAGAAGGACATTTAACTTACTAGCTTCACAAATAGGAGTCTAAATTCACATTTTCCTCTTCAACCATATCTCTTTGGTTGGTATTTGTCCTGCCAACCTCTCCCCCAGCTAAGTTCAGCAAATTTCTTCTGTTGTGACTCATCCATGAGAGATGGCCAAGGAGGTATGGCATACCAAAGGCAACAGAATGCTATGGTGAGAATGGGAACTGAGAGGATGGGAAGTGAAAAGGCAAGCATTTCCCCATTCCTGGATCTGTGGTGTAGTGGAAGGTATCTTAGCTCTAGACTTGGAGGACATGGGTTCAAATATTGGCCCTGCCACTCACTAGTTGTGTCACCTCAAATAAGACATTTTAAACTCTTTTCATTTTGGTTTTCCTAACTGTAAGATGACCTCTAAAATTCTGTCTAGCTCTAAATTCTTCAATTCTTTTATCTTTCCTTCAAGAGATATTCTTTCATTATCAAGGGGTTCCTAATCATAATATGAAGCCTTGTTGAAGATTATAAACCCTTCCCCCCCACAACACTTTGTCCCCTCTTACAATGATGATAAAATAAATACAAACAGATTTAAACAAAGAAATAAACCAACCCAAACCCAGCCCCAAATTAGACCTAGCTTCCATTTTGACTTTCTTCAGGTTTGGTGATTGGCCACACATTTTCTAAGTTCATTTTTTTCTATGAACTTCCAGGTAACAAAGGCTAAGTATACCTGGTTGGAGTGGGAACAAGGTGGGCACTGGTGTTTCTGCAGTGAGCTTTCTGAAGATTTTTAATGTTCCCACCATCTTTGAGTGAGGTAAGAAGTTGCCATCTTGAATAACAGGTCTAGCTGTCGTTTCTTTAATTCTTAGAACTGGTGGAAGGTATGGATTTAGTGAACTGATATTTTTGGCATTGAAGGCCAGATTAATTTTCTGCCATAGCAAGTGCCCTTTCCTGTACTCAGAAAGGGTTTCTTTGCATGGTGCTTGCTTTTTATTGCATATGTCCACCTCTTGATTCACTCATTATGATGTGCATACATGTCATGATGAGAAAACACAACTTTGGGTACATTCCCCATCTGGCATGAGAAAAATCCCTGTTCGGCAGAGTTCCTGATGAATGTTATCTTGCTTTTTCACTTTCAAGGAGATCTCAAAGTTCAATTGTGAAAACATTGTGATTGCTAAAGGTCATCCAACCCAAACCTTGAGAAAATGCATGGCGATTCACAAAGTTGTGCTGAAAGAAATAACTCAAATTACTAATGAGAAATCTATAGCAGTACATCAAGGAAAACAATTTTCTTGAAGATTAGGGGCTCATAGAATTTAGGACTAAAGGGATCCAACCTCTGTTTGCCTTTTTCCTCAACTGTAAAATGGGAATAATAATGATAATAGTACATTCCCCTAGGATTGTTGTGAGGATCTAATGAGATTATATTTATATTGTGCCGGGAATACAGAGGAGCTAAGTGCTTATTTCCTTCCCTAGTACCTACTTTCCCCCTCAGGGGCTATTCAGTCAGGGCTAGCTGACTGTGTGACTTTGAGTGAGTCATTTCCCTTCTTTAGACCTCAGTTTTCCCACCTAAAACATCAAGGGGTTAGATTAGATAATTTATAAAATGGCCCCTTCTAGATCTGATCTTCTGTATTCTAACATTTTGTTATCTAAGTCTCCTTCTAGATTGCACATTCTGCATTTTAAGTTTCCTTCTGGCTAAAGAATTCTGTGTTTTAAGGTTTCTTCAAATCCTGACATTTTGTGTTTTAAGGCAACTTCTAACTCAGACATTCTATGCCCACGATCTCTTCTACTTTTGAGGTTCTGTGTTCCATGCCACTTTCTCTTGCTATCTTGCTTAGAATTCTCATCTTCTAGGCATATTGTAAAGTGCTTTTCCTAGCTCAGAACTTCCCACCTAAACTACAGACAGTGGAATTTCTCTCCGCTTCTCTCCCCTCCCCCTTCATGAAATATTCTGGGTTTAAGTACGTACAAATGATTAAAATTAGGAATTGGAAATATTCAATGAAAACAGAATACCCTTTCACAGTGATAACTTCCTTCATCCTTATAACAGGAAAGCCCCAAAGAATGTTTTGTCTTCTTTGGTATAATCCACAAGAGAGATGTCACTGACATTCACCATCAGCTTATCCCCCTCCTGCATAGGAAAAACAGCCCCCAGGTAAATTGGAGTAAACCAGGTGCTGCCTATCTCACAGATGGACTTGGTCCCTGTTAAAAGCTGTGTTGGCTCCGGGTATCTGTCAGTGACTCTGGTGATGACCTGGGTTATGTAATTGGGCTTGGTGGACCGATTCTTTTGGTTGATTTTACCACACTCTGGCGTGCTGCCTCGGAAAGTGACTTGTGAATAAACAAAGTAGTCTCCTGACTCTGGGATCACGAGGAACTTGTTGGTGTAATTCATTTGGTTTTTGATGAAGGCAGAGCCAAGTTTATGTTCCCACTGGAGAGCTGGCCATGAGTCCTTCATGGGAGTCATAGACTTCTGTCGAACAGCTAGAGAGACCAAAATAAGCTAACTTTACTGACATGGGATCAACAGACCCCTGTAAAATAAATGACAGGTCATTAAGGACAAAGCATTCTTTTCAATGAACCTTTACTCTTTTTTTTTCTTTCATTTTTAGTGATATCTTTTGTTTTTATACTGCCTTCATTTTCAAATATATCCTTCCCCCTCCCACAATCCAGGGATCCATCCTTTGAAAGAAAGAATAAAAAAGAAAGAAAGTGAAAAGAGCAGTTAAACAAATACAACCGGGGCAGCTAGGTGGCAGTGGATAGAGCTCCGGCCTTGAAGTCAGGAGGACCTTTGTTCAAATCCCTCCCACACACAACATTCATTAGCTGTGTAACTCTGGGCAAGTCACTTAACCCCAATTGCCTCACCAAAAACAAAACAAACAAACAAAAAAACAAATGCAACCAACACATCTACTACGTCTGAAAGTATAGGCAATATTCCATGCCCAGAATCTCCCAAAACTACAAAGAAAGGAGGGAGGTGCATCTTCTCACCTCTTCTATAGCACCGAGTTTGGTTGTTCTAATTATACATCATTCAGCTTTTGGAAAACTACTCTCATTATCATCACCAACATCATCAGATATGCTAAGTGGCACAGTGCCAGATAGAGCTTTGGATCTGAAGGCAGGAAAACCTGAGTTCAAATCCAGCCTCGAGTACTTACTAGCTGTGTGACCCTGCCTTGGGCAAGTCACTTAACTTTTGTTTCTTTCGGTTTCCTCAACTATAAAGTGGGGACAATAATAGCGACTACCTTCTAGGGTTGTTGTGAGAATCAAATGAGATCATATTTGTAAAGTACTTAGCACACTACCTAGTAATATAGTTATCCCTTTCATATCACAACTTTCCCTATTGTTATTTCAGTATATTGCAGCATAAGAAATTAAATGGGAAATTTTGGGGAGTTTTGTGGAAGCCAGAGACAACACATGAAGGCCCACAGACAACACAGAAAAAATTTAGAAATTCAGAAATGCATAAAATATATGTATAGTATTGTATAATATCAACCCCAATTTTATAATGAGGCACTGTAAACACTCCATAAAAGCAAAAGAAAAAATTCAGACTTCTTCTCTGGTACGAAAGGAGGGCAAAAAAATTTTGTGTGGATTTTCCAGGTTGTAGGGTGCCACACCCCTAAGCCCCACAATGTGGAAGGGCTAACTGTAGTAGGCACTTAATAAATTCTTATTTCCTTCCTTCCTTCATCATCAATAGGAAGATTATATTGAAAGCAACGATACTTAGGCAATATAGGTCTTAATGTATGCCTTCTGAACAATAAAATGGACTATAGCTGATTTGAAAAATATCCTAATAAAAGCTCATACAATATTAATAAAACACAGGGCTCATTACTGTAAGGCAGCACAACTATGGAATAATGACTAATTCTTACACAAAAGGAGGAAGAGGATAGATAGGGATTCTCAGAGCACATGATTAAGTGTTCCAAAACCTATAGAAATACTTTTAGAATGGACAGACAGACATTATTTTGTCAGGCAATAGTAAATGCTGACAACTGGTACACAGTATTGGATTTGTTGAATGTAACCAGAAGTAGTTACCTATGGAGATTATGAAAAAGCTAAAATCTAAGTGTCATCAAAAATCCTTCCCTAAGGTGACATGCCCATGAGCTCAAATACATGTTGACAAAGAAGAGTGAAATAGTTGACTGAGAGATGTGGATATATTTCTGGAAACAGAATTGTTTATGATGGGAATTTAGGACCAGATTTTCACCACCAGATACTACAGAAGAGTTATCCTCAAGGAGCCTGGAATTGGTGATCAATACACATTACACGAGGGAACAGAAGAAATTATGTAGCATATCCCTGCAGGCTGCAAAGATTTAGTACCTACCAAATAACTAGGTGCTAAATGTAAGTACAAATAATAAAAGAATGCCAGCAAGATGTGACCCAATGGTTCGAATTGCATATCAAAAACTTTCTATCTTTCATTGAGACGCCATGATGATAAATACACATGCTACAAATATGGATGTCAAAATATCCTTGAGAATTCAACCAATAAACTTAGTGGAATCAGAGTATCGTTATAGATGGAGCCCTTGCCCACAATCACCTGGCTATCACATCAATAAAAATGAATGATTTTATTAGATATCATCACATAAATACCCATAATCTCAAAGCCACATGGAATAAAAATCTTTTAAAATATAAGGATCCAATGGGAAAAATCAAACTTGTGGGAAAATGATGAGGTGCGTGCCCCTACCCTTCCTCCTCTTCTTTGCTACTGGAATTGCATTAAGGATGCTTTTAGTGAGCCTACATCCTAATACTTCTATTTCATTACAAAAAGCGGCCATTTTCCCTACTTATGCAAGACTCTATAGAATATTCAATATAAAAGAATCCCAGCAGCATAGTGATCAGTGCCGGGACTTCTTACATCTGAGCTCCATTGAATAAGATGAAAATAAGATAATGATAAGAACAGTAACAATGACAATAACACATTTATATAGCACTTTTGTTAGCCAAAATCCTTCTCTGTTGCCCCCATTATGGCATGGAGGTGACTCTGGCTTCTTGAATAATATGTCAGGTGAACATAGGCTGGGGCAGGTTTTACCAAGTTGTAGATTTTTGATGCAGAGTTTGAGACTCACAATTATCTGGTGTTTTGAGGCTTCCAAAGCATCTGCCCTAATTAGCAGAACTAGGGCAGAGGGTTTAACCCTAAAACAATAAATTTGGATATCTTCTTGACTGAGTTACTGAACATGATGACTGGGAGACTTTTTGGTAAGCTTATAGGTAGTTCAGTGGATAGAGTGCCTCTTTAGAATATTCAGGCATTAAGCCTTATAAAAATCAGGCCCTGGAAGAAGGGAACATCTCAGATCATGAGGAAGATCTGAGGTTCACTTCATTAGAGGGGACCATGGATCAATAAAGTGCCATTGGCTTAGAGCTCTGCCTCAGTTTCTTTTGTTGTAGGTTGGACAATTATAATCCCCATAGTTACATGAAGTGGGGCAAAGAAAAGGGAGGTAGTACTGCTGTTCAGTGGTATGCTGGGAAATGTTTAATAAGTATCTCTCTGAAAAAAATAAGTCTACCCATGATATTTTAAAGTTAATTCTACATTATTATGATTTTTTGCATTGCTTTCTTAATTTTTTGTTGTTGTTCAGGTGTTCCCATCGTATTTGACTTTTCACGATCCCATTTGGGATTTTCTTGGCAAAGATAGTGCAGTGGTTTGCCATTTCCTTTTCTGTATCATTTTACAGACGAGGAACTAAGGCAAATGGGGTTAAGTGACTTGCCCAGGGTCACACAGTTAGGAAGTGTCTGAGGCAAGATTTGAACTCAGGAATATGATTTTTCCTGACTCCAGGCCTGGCACTCTATCCACTATTCTACCTGGCTGACTTTTCTTAAATATAGGAAATCAATAAAACAAATCAAGCTCTGATTTGTAGTGTTTGCTGGTTTCTGATCAGCAAATGCTCACACTGAAAATTTAACAATCAGCTCTTGAGAGCTGAGGATGAGTTGGCTCCAGTACACTCCTAGTTTCCCTGTACTCCACCTTGATTATACCACAACTGGAGTGTAATGTTCAAATCTTGGCACCACAGTTTAAAAAAGACAATGAAAATCTGCAGTGCATCCATAAGAGAGGAGCCAGAATGATGAGAGGACTGGAGAGAGAGTGTTAAAAGGATTGGTTGAAAGAAATGGAAATATTTGGCCTGGAGAAGGGTGAGCTGGAGGAGACATGATGACTCTCTTCAGATACTTGTAGGGCTATTATATGGAAGAAGAAGAGTGAGGAGCAATGAATAGGAGTCATAGAAAGGAAGATTTGGGCTCAGTGTGAGGACAGCCTTCCTAAAAATGACAGCTGTCCCAAAGGGGGATAGCCTGCCTCAGGGGTTGTGGGTCTTCTAATAGAAGCCACATGACCAGAACCACAGGCACATTAAACCTCAGTTAGAGGCACAACCCATCTCCTCTACAGGGGTGGTGGAGGAATCCCCTCTATGACATGTGGCCTGTGATGCCCAACATCTGGCTTTTAACGCCCAGGGCAAGCAGAAACGTTTTAACTTCCCACAAGAATGTTTCAGTTTTGTAAAAGGCAGCCAGGCTTAGTTGACACTTTCACGTACTGACATCCACAGTGAATCTTCCCTAAAGTGATTGATTATTCTTCACAAGAGAAATTTAAAGAAAGCTCTCATTCCACTAGTTTGCCAGCTCTCCTTCTACAGAGGCAATCTGACATTTGGTCATTAGCCAGCAGACATGCGTGCATATGCCCATGCACAAACACACACATTCTCACAAAGTGTGAGAAGGTCTTCCCTTGTCTCCCAAGTAAATGATCCATGGATATCTCTCCTGCAAAAGGAGAGATGTCCAACAAAAAATAGGAATGCATTCTTATTAGTTACTGTAGGAGCCTCCTTTTTCTTTGTGATATTTTTCATCTGCCTCTCAGTTGCTTAGTAAAGTTAATGTTTATAAAGTAATCACATATCATGGAAGGAAGGTCAAAGTGCTGAATACAAGTAACTAGCTTCTTGAGATTGCCTTTGAATGGGTCGGGTTAATGTGTAATGGTGTCTAAGCTACTCCATTTCAATTATTCCTTCTGGCAGGTGGCAACAACCATGTATATTTAATTGTGTCTGATTTTCATTCTGAAGGAATGCACCCCTTGATAAGGCATTCAGGCAGGATCACAGGAGAAGGTCACAGGGAGGCCTTAGGGATATTTTGGTTACAAACTATTCTATACAAGAACTAATTACTTAAATCTTAAAAAATAAAAAAAATTGTCCTAAATGAACAAAATTCATTGAGACGCAATATGGTATAGTGGCTAAAGATCCTGCCTCAGAGTCAGAGAAGTCTGATTCCAACTTTGGCCTCTTATAAATACTAACTGTGAGTTTTCAGCAAGTTATTTAACCTCAGGCAACACTATAAGAGGCAGTTGGGCCTAGAGTCAGGAAGATGTGAGTTCAAATTCAGCCTCACTTACTAGCTGTGTGACGTTGGACAAGTCACTCAACCCTGTTTGCCTCATTCTCCTCATCTGTAAAATGAGCTGGAGAAGGAAATGGCAAACTGCTCCAATATCTTTGCCAAGAAAACCCCAAATGGGGTCACAGAGAATCAGACACGACTGAAACAACTCAACAACCACAACTCTCAAAAACAAAGCAAAAAAAACAACAAAATTAATTGGAGAGGAAGTAGATGTTGTTGAATGGGTTTTTGCATGTCTTGCCTGGACTCAAAACCTTCTCTGGTGTGTTTCTGAGGCAAGTTATTACTGTTTTTTTGTGCTCTGCATTTCAGACACTATGTGGGTAGTCTGTGGAAGAACAGCTAATTGGTGTGGAAGTAAAGAATTTGCCACTGGTCAGTGAGGCCTTGTTGTGATGTGGAAGGGATGCTGGGCTCTTGAAGTCTATACTTGTGGTGGTTCTTCCTTCCAAGCACTAAAGACTTTGAGTATGGGAACAATATCATTTAATTTGGAGAGACTTTTCACCAGGGATGCAGGGTGATGAGTTTTTTGGCTGTAGCAATTTTTGAAGAATTTTGGTTAAATTGTAGTGGGTTGCAATCTGTGTGGGTGGAAGCGTTACTCAAGCCCTTGAAATTGTAGCTTGTTAACATATTAGCATGGATAGAGCACTGGGCCTGCAGTCAGGAAGACTAGTTCCAATCTATCCTCAGGCACTTATTATGCTGTATGAACCTGGTCAAGTCACTTAATCTCTGTTTGACTCAGTTTCCTCAACTGTAAAATGGGGATAATAATACCTCCTAAGGTTATCCTGAGGATTAGATGAGATAATAATTGTAAAACACTAAACATAGTGCTTGGTCCATGGTAAGCACCATATAAACTCTTGTTACGTGCTGTGTTGGCATTGTATAAATGTTAGTTTTTATTATAATATTTTATTATTAGTATATTGAAATAAGTGACACTCACTAAGTTAGATGTACCCTCATAGCTCAGCAAGAATGAAGGATTTTGGAAAGATACCCTTCTAAGCTTGGGACAAAATTTGGAATCTTGAATTGCAGAACACAATGAGGGGCAGGCACTGTGCCTCTATACCAATAATCCTGATTTTTTGTGTCTGGGAAAAAGCTGATTTTGTAATGGTGTGTGTGTATGTGTGTATATATGTACATATATGTATTAAGGTTATTTTGATTTTTTTTCCCAATTCATTAGATATATATTTATCTACTGTGCACAGAATCCTGTGCTAAGTACTTAGGAAGAGAAGCCATGGTCCTAGCCTTTGTGGTGCTTAGCAGAACCAAGGCTATTGTTTTAACTTTTCCCTATACTTTCACGTCTTGGAATTGGACAGGAAAACCGTAACCTTCAGTCCCTCAGGAAATCCCTATGCCCTTCTGCATTTGGTAATAATAATAATAATAATAATTTTCTAAAATCCCTGAGAGTTTAAATGCCAAGGATTTTTCTCATGTAACACTTTTGTCCAGTTCCCTCACAAGACAGAAGAACTGGAAATCCCAGCCTTGAAAGATTTTTTTCTGAAGAGATGTGATTCCCAGTTTGAAGCTGATATCCTTTATATCCTACAACTTTGGAAAATCCTTAAAACGAAACAATGAGGCTATTTCAGGGCATGGCTATTTTTCCACCCTGATTTATATGTGAGGCAGTTTGGTGAGATGATGAGAGAGGAAACTCGAAGGCGAGAAACCTGGTTTCATATTCTGCCCAATACACTCAGAGGGTTTCCCTGGGGTCTTTTTGCAAAATAGAAACATTTGTGGGCAGTTAAAACATTTTTGCTTTCCCTGGGCATCAAAGAGCAGATGTAGAGAGGGCTCCTCCCTAAATTCCATGGAAAGGAGTTGGACCGGATATTCTCTTAGGTCCTTTCCAAACCTTCCATACTGTCTGTATGACCCTGGGCAAATCACTTAACCTCAATGTCCCAGGCAACTCCCTGAGCCTGTAAGTTGCAGAGTAGTTGTAGATTTCCATTGATGGAGGGTATATCCTCCCAGAGGAGCCCCTTTCCACTGATGATATGTCATAGTTCTGAAACCTGACTTCTGCCCCTGAACCCTCAAAGAAAATCATACCGTCCCAAACATAGGGAATGTTCAATGCTTAGTACCCTGCAATTTCCTCTCTCTGGCCACGTATCTCAGTTGATGTTTCCTAGGGAATGAATTATTGCCAATGAAGAAAAATTACCTGTCAGGTGTGCTCTCGGCTTATCTGTATTAGACCTGGGGGGTATATCTGCAACAGAAGACAAAACATAATTTATACATGTCCTGGTTTGCCTTGGGCTAACAGTAGTGGTTTGTAGCTCTGCCTGGAAGTGTGATGATAGGAGAACATTCTATTTTGTATTTTGGAAGGGAGTATTGGGCAGGATTTAATCAAATTCTATTCTATTGTGGTTGGGTAGGGTAGCTAGGTGGTATAGTGGATAAAACACGGGGCTTGGAGTCAGGAACAGTCATCTTCCCGAATTAAAATCTGGCCTCAGGCACTTTCTAGCTGTGTGACCCTGGGCAAGTGACTTAAACCTGTTTGCTTCAATTTCTTCATCTGTCAAATAAGCTGGAGAAGGGATTGGCAAACCACTCTAGTATCTTTGCCAAGAAAACCCCATATGGGGTCACAGAGAGTCAGACATGATTGAAAAATGACTGGACAACATGGTGGGTGACCTAGGAGTGGTGTACTTGAGGCAATGATGGAGCATTTCAGTGGTCTGTACCTGCTGATCCTCAGAGTAGTTAATTGTTTCCCTCTGTTGTTATCCCTATGCTCCCTTTAATTCTAGGCATTGTGGCATGGAAGGCCTAGTCCAGTTCTTTCCCTTAGGCCTATGAACTTTCTAAAAAGTATTTTGATAAGTTAATATCCGTATCATTGATAGCCTTTGTAATTTTATGCATTTTATTTTATGTATTTAAAAGCATTGTTCTGAGAAGGGTCCATGGGTTTCACTGGATTCTAAGGGGTTCACGGCACTAAAAAGATGAGGTATCCTTGGTTGAGTAGAATCAAGGCCACCATGCACACCTTTTACTCTGGGTGACCTCTGTTCTGATTGTCCTGAGGGGTGACTCAATTCATAAACCCTCCACCCTTTCTTCCAGAAAGGGTCCTCAGGCAAAATTTAGACATCATAGGACTAGGAGTGCATTTAGCCTTTTGGTTCACAAACTTTTTGGTCTCAGGACCCTTTTGTACTCATAAAAAAAAATTATTGAGAATCTCTCCCCCCAAGAGCTTTTGTTATATATATATATATTGATATTGGCCATGTTAGAAATTAAAATGTCTTAGTGTTCTTATGAAAATAGTTTTGACCTTGTGGATATCCTGAAAGGGTCTCAGGGACCCTTAGGGGTCCCCTGACCATATTTTAAGAACCACTTATCTAAATAGAGTCATATATTTAAAGCTGGAAAGGCTTAGAGACCATCTAACCCAACCCCCCTCATATTATAGATAAAGATCCTAAGGTCCAGAGAGAGAGGGTAAGTGATTTGTCTAAGGTAAAACAGATGGTAAGTGGCAGGGTTTGGATTTGGACCTGCGACTCCTAAAATCCATGGTTCTTTGCATCACCTTGCTTCTTAGGCCAAATTGCCTTATAGATAAGGAGAATGAGGTTCAGAAAGCTGTACAGATTTGCCTGTGGTGAATTAATGAATTACAGAGCTGGGAGTCAAACCTAGGTCTTCTGATGCCTACTCCAGTGCTCTCTCCTATCTATTGGGCTGCCCTTTTTGCAAAGGCCCACCTCTTACACACTTGCTCTACTCCTCTATATCTAGCAATGCCCTGGCTATGCCTCCTGGGAATAGGGAATAGGGCAGAGCATTTCTTTGGTGCAGACCCTTGGTGAAATTGAAGCAAAGGCAGTTTGGGCATGAAGCCCATCAGAATCCACTCAACAAACATTTTCATTGGTCCTAATACCTGGGATAGGGACTTGCTAATTTTTTTCCCCTGTGCATGCCCTATATTTGAGGAAGAACCTCAAAGCTACTACCATCATTTTTTTTTTTTTTTTGGTGAGGCAATTGGGATTAAGTAACTTGCTCAGAGTCACACAGCTAGTGAATGTTATGTGTCTGAGGTTGGATTTGAACTCAGGTCCTTCTGACTCCAGGGCTGGTGCTCTATCCACTGCACAACCTAGCTGCCCCCATCATTTTTTTTTTAAGCATAAGAAAAGAAAAAAGAACATAAATAGACTTACAAGCTCGTTGATGTAACCGGTCAGATTCCCTTGCCTTCAGAAACTGTTGGAAAAGACAGATGTGGTTTAAGTTATTCTCAGCTACAAAGAAATGCTGCCGCTGCTCAGGTTGGCTACAATGGGGTGAGGGCAATTGTAACTAAAAGGTTGTTCCTGGGTAGCTCTGAGTGCCCAGATCTTCCCCTTCTATAAACTGAAACTCTAAACTTCCTTTTTAAATGACCTGCCTGTATTTTTTAGCACCTTAAATTTCTGACTTTGAAGTCACATCTGTAGGGATCATTGGTTGTAAGCTTGACTTTCTTTTTCTTAGATTGATAATTCCTCTCACTCTTTAAAACCTTCTGTAATGAAGCTAGATTTATTTTGATTTATAGTTGTACGTGTATCTTGTTAGATGGGTAGGGGGCACACAAAAGTTAGGGCATGAGTCTTGGAGTCACAAAGATTCAGTTCAAACCCTTCCTTAGATACTTATTAGCTGTGTGACCCTGAACAAGTCACTTAACTCTGTTTGCCTCAGTTTCTCACCTGTAAATTGGGGATAATAATAGCTTTAACTTTTTGACTTAACTTTTTGAATTCATATCTTCCTGACTACAGAGTTCTTTATCCAATCTATTACCTAACTTATCCCACCAACTTAGATTCAAGAAGCACTTAATCAGTGCATCTGTAAATTTTTAAAGGTATGGTAGTCTCTATAGCTAATACCCTGGTACTTCCTTATGTCAATAAGTGACAGAATCATTTAGCAGTGGAGGTAACTTAAACCAAAATTTCAGAACCTGTATATTCTGATAACTGACTGTTAGGCAAATCACTTGACCTCTCTTTATTTGATTTATTTTACCTGTCTGATAAACAACTCCCTAAAACACAGATCTATTGTGCTTTAGAGCTGACAAAAGTACTTTTCTCCTAATCATCCTGTGAGGTAGTGCAAGTATTATTTCCATTTTACAGATGGAGAAAATGAAGCTCAGAAAGGAGAACTGACTTGCTCCTGGAGTAGCAAGAATTGAACCTAGGATTTGAACCTGGATCTCATGATTCCAAATAAATGGTGATAATACCAACTGTTCCTAAAGGCTATAGATATTTTATGAGAAATATGGGGTCATGTTAATTTCTAATGGAAAAAAATTAACACAAATTTAGTATGACATAATTTATCATCAGTATCTTTGTAATGTAACTTTTTTTCACCTGTCCCTGATGCCAATCTACTCAGATATATTCTCCCCTACTAGACTATAAGCTCCATGCAGACAGGTTTCCTTTGAATCTCTTCTAGTATCTTATATGTTGCTTTGAACAAAATAGAATTCATAGAATTTAGAGCTGGAAAGGCCCTCAGAGGCCATACGGTCCAACCCATTATTTTAATGATGAGGAAATAGAATAGTTAAATAACTTGCTTGTGGTCTCAGGTAATAAGGAATAGCCACCTTAATCAATGTGTTTTTGATCTTCCTTCATTGGTGAGGAGGCAGATACATTGTTAAATACAACTGGCTCAGCTTCTCACAACCTCTTTACCTGAGGGAACCATGTATTGGGTGAACCAGAGGCAATCATATTTTTGAGACACGCCCAGATTTCAATCCTGCTTCCATTTGGCTACTGGCAGAAAACTGAATGTGCCTGAAGGTTTCTAGGTTTGTAAACAAAGTGTTTCTTTTTAATTTTACTGAAGACTTTTGTTCTCGTATCACAGTTGTTTCCAGAGAAGTCTCAATTCCTCCCAACCCTTGTCACAAAGTAAAGCATGAACTACACCCATCTTTCTTTTTCCTGCTTAGGTTTGCTTTTGGATGCAACACACTTTAGATAACAGGTATTGCTGTTTTCCTTGAAACACCAGCTTTGTTAGAGAATATCAGCAGTGATCATCTAGTCCGACCTGTTCCTGAACAAGTATTCCCTCCACACTATACCCACAAAGTGCTCAACCAGCTTTTGCTTGAGGATTTCCAGAGATGAGAAACAACTACTTCTGGAATCAGCCCATTCCACTTCTCCATTGCACTTCTTGCTAGGGTGGTTTTCCTTCCATCAAACCAAAATTTGCTTCTTTGCAACTTTTACCCATTGCTCCTACTTCTGATCTCTGAGGCTAAGCAGAACAAGGTCAGTCTCTCTTCTGTATGATAGCCCTTCAAATACTCTAAGACAAATATGCCCCTGTGCTCATCTTCCCTAGGGTAGGTATCTCTGGTTTCTTCAATTAATCCTTACGAAGTATGATCTTGCCATATCCATACCTTGCCTCTAACTTCTCCTCTATTGATCATTTAGGGAGAGATATTAATAAAATAATGATAATAATAACAAATAACAACAACCAATATTTATGAAGTCCTTTTAGCTTTGCAAAATGCTTTGCATATATCTCATTTGATCCTGAGTTATAAGGCACCTTGGAGGTCATTTTGTTTAACCCTCTGCCCTATGTATTTCCTCTACAATATCTCTGCTAAGTAGTAATCTGGTTTCTGTTTAAATATCTCCAGTGTTGGGAAATAAAGTACACCACAGTGAGCCTGCCCATCTCATTTTTGGACAACCCTATTTGGTCAGTGTCTAGCAGTGCTTAGATCCAAACTATAGCTATATGCTTGAGAGTTAAAAATCTGTGGAGTTACATTTATAGTTGGGTTTATCTCAGGTTTTTTTTTTTTTTTTTGCTCCTCCAGCCTCATATTTGTTAATTGGATAGCTCACTGTAATGGAACTGGGGCTCTTCTATCCCTTCGCGCAGAAGTGACTGAGCTATCAGCACCTGCCTCCCACATGGCTATCTTCTCTCTTCTCTCTTCCTGGGCAGAGTTAAGCACCAACAATACCCTGTAGAAAATGCTGCTCTGGTACTTGGCTTTACCTATAGTAGCCACTATTCTAAATTGATCATGAGGACAAAATAGATGTAGATTCAAAGGTACCCATCCATTCAACATTCATTACATACTACACTATACAGCTACTACATGTGTAAGGCATGTCCAATTAGGGCCTGTCTACATGGTCCAGAAAAGGGACTGTGAAACCTTTTTGTTCCACAGAACCACCTTGTGAAACCCAGTCACTCGCAGACTCCATTTCTTGTTTTGACAATGAAAACAAACACTCCACATGGCTGCCCCTCCTTGCTCCCCATCACTTTATCTTCTCCTAAAATTCCTTTTCTTCCTTCAAGGCTTAGCTGAGGTGCCACTTACTCTAGGAATAATTTTATGATCCCTGCCTTCTTTAACCCAAATGAAAATATTCTCTTCACCCACAAATTTTCCTACTTTGCATCTCTCTGTGGTTCTTATCACAATCTACCATGTGTCATAGTTATTCGCTGACCAGCACCCTTTCTACGACTGTGTAAACTCTTTGAAAGGAGGTTTCATGCTGTTTTTTTTGTCTTTGTATTTCTAACCTAGAACACAGTGCCTTGCAATATAATAGCCTATGCTTAGTAAAAGCTTATCCATTTGAATTGCACTTCTCAGAATGAATCTGCCTTGGATAAAATAGCAATGAGATGATATTCAATTCTTATTTAAAATTATAAATAAATACTTCCAACAAGAACCCAAAACAAGTTCTAGAATGCATCTTACCAAGTCTCAAAGAGTAATCTTAAAAGTTGGTCATCTAGACAAAGGTCTACCTAACTTTTGTATAGAGTTTTGATAAGGGTATTTCACAAATGGAGTTCAGTTCAATCAATAAGTCAATAATCAGTAAGAATTTATTAAATATCTACTATGAGCTAGGCACTCAGATGCTGGAGCTATAAAGATAAAAAGCAAAGTAATGCTTTTAAGGGGGTTACATTTTGTTGGGAAGACATGTATATGTATAAATATAAACAGAAAAAAATCAAAATAAATACAAGGTGGCTAGGTAGGGAGAAAAGCAGCAGTTAGAGGTCTCACTGTACTCCCATAAAGCATAGAAGGTGGTTAGTACTTGAGCTGAGTCATCAAGAAAGTGAGCATTCTCTGAGCACGGGTAAGGAGGCAGAGCATTCCAAGATTGGCCAGTGCAAGCATGGGGAGATGGGAGATGGGCAATGGAGTGCTCTCTGTGAAGAATAGTCAGATGGCCAATTTGCCCAACTGTAGAGTGCAGGAAGGAGAGTAAAAGAGAATGAGTCTGGAAAGGGAAATCGGGACCAGATTGTAAAGAGCTTTAAAATCTAAACAAAGAAGTTTGTGTTTTATTCTAGAAGTATTAAGGAACCACCAGAATGTATTGAATAGGGAAGTGACACAGTCAGACTTACACTTAGGAAATGTGGACTATAAGCTTCTTGAAGGCGGGGACTGTTTCTCATTTTGTTTTATATATCTAAATTCAGTCCTGTTATTTTACCTCCAAATCATATTCTCTTCTTTTCTTTGGTGTATTTGTTCCCCAGTTCAGTCAGCGACTTATTGAGAAGATAAATTTTACCACGGATTAAGGTTCCACAATTTGGAAAATAAATAAAAAATGTTTCATGATTTTTGAACGTTGGAAAAATCTGTGTCTAAACCATGGGAACAAAGCAGCATTTGAATTCTGTCAACTTTATTTCTAAGTTTTGGTCATTTGATGCTTTCTCTTCCCTCTTTTCTCCACCCAACAGCACATCATAAGCTCCTTGAGAAAGAATTGTTTTTCATTCATCCCAGTATTGAACACAGTGCTTTCCACAGTGGGTATTTAATAACTGCTTGATATGTTGGGATTCTCTCCCTTTTCTAGTCCTCTTCCTTCTCCTCTTGACTCTCCACCCATTTCCAGTTCTCCTTTCTTTTATTCCCTCTTTAACTTCAAAATTCTCATTCCATTGGCACAAAGATAAAAACAAAACAGAACAATACTTTGGAAAGGGACCAAGCTTCTGTAACTATGCCTTCTTCCCTCTTTCCCTTGTTCCTTTTTTTTTCTGAAGTGTGTGTGTGGGTGGGTGGGGTGCAGTAGGTGTGGACATTTACTTCCAGCATCCTGTGCTTGACTCTCATAGTGTTCCAGTGAAAAATGGGGAAAGGTCAATCAATC